CATGATAGCCACTCCCTCAGTGGGCTTGTGGCTGTCGTCCGGATTACCGAAGTAGACTATTGAGTCTCCAGTTAACAATTCGGAGAGCTCACTTACTTTCACAGATTCCTAGAACCTCTATACTCTGTCTTCTCATCTGTTTGGCAACACGGGCAGTTTTCTTAGCCTCGTACATCTCACGAACATTCCACATCTGCCGACTGGCTTCCAGAAGTCTTCCACCAGCCGGTGTCATTTCGTCTCCTCGATGCTAGTGAAGAATAAATTTTTTCTTTTATATTTCTAATATTTTCCTTCTTATCCATGCATGTACAATTGGTGTGTTTCCGCATAAACAGGAAGAAATATACTCTTAAGTTTCCGTAGCGGTTTGGTTTGTTTTCCCGGGTAGGGTAGCAAGCTAAACGCCCAACCCTCCCTCTTTGGTCAAGCTTGGGACCGGCCAGAAAACTAGAGAGCTAATAAACTAGGTGAAGTTATCAGAGAATCTTAGGGCCCATCCAATTCCATTTAGTCTACTTTCCACCCTGTTTGCCTGTGGTAAGAATAGAAAGGAAACGAATGTTGAAGCAGGGAGTTTGCATTATTGGCGTGTTCGCGAATACAACTTGTATGTTGTGTAAAACCTGTTTGTACGCCTCATTTCTTCTGATACTAGTTGCAAGTCGACATATTGTGTCCGGTGATGTGAAATGGATTGAAAGCTTTTCATTGGTGAAGTAATCCTATTTCCGATGTCAGAAATTTATCTTGCCTGCATCAAGAGTATCTATTTTGTTAATTGGTGCCTGTATTAATAATATATCCTTCTATTCATAGTAGGTTGTAGAGTAGCGCAGTTGTTTTAGACTAGGTGATTTTATAAAAATAGTGAAAATTTTACTGTGGGATGAATTCTGTGATATTCAAAATTATAGCGTGGATGAACTTCGACGAGTTCTCTCGAGGATAGCTATTCTGAAGATTATCTGCTGCAAGTTCCCATTACCCTCAGCATGCATATGTTATATTTTGTGCATGGCACATACGTTTTCTCCCATAACATTTTTTCACAGTATACAATAGTAACAAACTAAATAGGATTTTGTCTTCTTCCACCCTTACTACTTGCACAGTATGAGGCGCATTATCACTTTCAAAAGATCAATGTTAGGTTTACTTCATTTGAATATCTATCTAAGGAAATAACTTCTATCTAAATCCTAAGTCTAAGATCTATTGTCAGCTGGTATCTCCAGATTGCAGTTTAGAATCAGCGATCTTGGGAAACTAACCTTCGAAATGCACATTGTACCAATTAGCTTCTATAATCCAAGTGTAGTCCTCTATAAGTTCATGCAGTCGATTACCATGCAAGGTTCCCAGTGGATCTCAATTTCACATGCACTGCCGTCCACTACATTGCTTACTTCTCCAATTCAGTAGGATAGTTCAACAATGTCCAGAGAACTTTTGTGTATGAGCGTGCAGCGGTAGGTAATTCCCCACAGCATTCATCACTGAACATTGGATGCTGACCCTCATTGTTTTAGTCGATTTGTTCAGCTGAAGGCTTCCGGTCAAGCATTCACGCCACTCAGTACTCTGTCGTGTCAGGTTCGTTCGTTCGTGCACGATCCCTAGCTAGATAAGCAATCATCACTCACTCCGATTTAGTCCCGAAATATAACTCATAATTTGGACGATCAATTCTTGTGTTTTGCTTTACCTTTGGTCTACACGGAACGAATACTACAGTAGTTGTGGGTATTAGATCTTGTGTTAGTATACTTCGTAATGTCCGTGAACGTCAATAACTTCAGCCTATGAAAGCACCTAGCAAGGGACAACAAAATGGGAACACATGATCATGAGTATATTATAAACTGTTACTAACTCATAGTACTCCCGAAAATGTAACAATCGCCTGTATTAGTTGTAGATTTCCCAATAAGGAAACTTCTTTGAACTACATATGAGTGAATTACCCCGGCGGGCCTGCTTGAACCACTGGGTTGACATAATTTCCATCCAACATAATGCACGAAATGTTCTCTATATTTTATTGTTTTAATCATTTAATTATGTCCTTGGATCGCGAAATATTCCCACGCATATTTTCCATTGGCTTTCAACCCACCTCTGTAGATTTCTCATAGACGAAAGAAAAGTACGATAAAGGAATGGTTTACACTACGCATCAAACAGCATTGCATCAAGCGATTTACGATGAACTACTATTTTCCGATATCTGATTAGATGATTTCTTGGGAATGGAAATTAATCCTCATTTTGTGCCAACGCGGCCCAATTTACTCGTAGTGTCGAGTGATGCAGACTTACAAGAAGTGGCCAAAGTTGAAGTCAACAAACTGAGTCAGTGATTGGAGAGGTGGAAGTTCCTGTTCCTTAGAGGCTGAGGGTGTCGACGTCCGTGGATAGTATGCCGTATACTAGCTCAAGGTTTTGTACTCCCAATCCCCATAGTATTTGTTTCGCGTAAAGCAGAGACAAATGAAAGTGCCAAATTTATTCTTATTATTTCCTTGAGTTCCGAGTGAAACATAGGGCTTCAACGACCTATCTCCGCATTGTCCTATCTTCTGCCGTCCACTACTGCCCACAACCCCTCATCTCCGCACACAATCTCCACGCCACCCCCGACCAACCCACTCGTCTCTTCCCATTTGAATTCCACTTGATGGCCTGGCGCACGATGTCATTTGACGGTCTTCTCAACGTATGCCCGACCCACCTCCATTTTCTCTTACATATTTGTTGAGAAATCGGCTCTTGGTTGGTTTGTTCCCAGATTTCCTTGGTGCTAATCCTGTTTTGCCAGCTGGTCACTTGATCTCCAGTATTGAGCCGGTGGAAGCAGCTGTTGATAAAAGTCTTCAACCCGTTGAAAATCCTTATTGTGAGACTCAGTGCAAGTTTTTGACCCGCATAGAAGGACCGACTTGTCATTGGCGTTGAAAATCTGGCTCTTGCTCCTTATGCTGAGTGCAGAAGATTTCAAACTGGTTTCAGGTTGATAAAGGCGTATCTCGCCCCTCCGATTCTGACTTTGTCATCTTCATCCATTCTGAATCTCAGTAGTTGAAACGATGCTTCGTATCCGGATAAGTGAAGGAGGTAACTTCTTTCAAATCCCTCCTGTTGATGGTGCTGGTTGCTGTTATTGCGATTCGTTGGTTATCTGTATCACCTTTGTCTTCTCTATGTTTATCTGGAAGGAGTCCTGTGTTCAGTGCCTCTCCAGCCAGTTCGTTACTTTTCGCCCATAAGTCTTCCAGATTCTGTGACATCATCTGCAAAATCGAGACCCACTTATAGGTGAACCATTCCTATCTCCTCGCTCCTCTCACACCGTCTCCTGCATAAACCAGTCCACCACGATCAAGAATATCATCGGTGATAATAGTCAGCCAGCTTGTCTTAATCCTGTATGCAATTCGAACGCCCCGCTGAGTTCCCCGTTGTGGACAAGTGACATTTTCTCACAGCCAGCTGTTGAATGAGGTCGATAAAGACTCGGGCACTGCAAGCCGTAGTGTCGAAATGATTTCCAAATTAGTTCGTGGTCAACACTGTCTGTCGAAGGTCTTTGCGAAGTCGATGAAGTTGAGGCAGAGAGAGGTTTGACTTCCATTCTAAGTTTTGCTCTGTGATGACGATGCGTAGAGTTGCAATTTGATCAGCACGCGATCTGCCCTTTCGGAATCCAGCCAGCTTCTTCTAGGTTGGCGGAGTTCTGTATCCAGTGCATCCCTTATTCTCTCCAGGATGACGCGACTTAGTATTTTGCTTGGCGCGGACAAGAGCGTTATTCCACGCCAGTTCTTTGAGAGTGGAGTGTAAGTCACCCTTCCTTAGTAGCTTAAAAGGTAGCCAGCCCCTCTTTCAAACGGTAGGCATCTTTCCTTCTTTCCAAACCTTTGGCAATAATGGCGTGAGAACATCTGCCGCAGTCTCTGGCTTCGTTTCCAGTGCTTCAAGAGGAATTCTGCCTGTCTCTGCTGCCTTCCTTGCCTTATTGCTGACGGATTTTCAATGCCATTCTACTCTGCAACAGCCATGAATTTTTTCGCGGAAATCCGTTTGTCTTCTTCGAAACTGTGGTCTATGTAATTTTCATTTCTTGATAATCAGCGACACAAAATATAATAGCTGAAGGCAAGACATGGAAGTAAAGGTACATTTTTCCTGATCGAACTGCTCTTTATATAAACAGAAAGAAGTTGCATTCTTTAACTCACTAAGCGTGTGATTCCAGTAAACATCAAAGGACATGATATAGAATTTTCAAATAGATATATCATATCCTGTCGCTAAAACCAATGGAAATATATGAGAATAATATTCCGTTGGCACACATTTTCTGTAGCGCACCATCAAACTCGTCTCCCCAGCTGGATCTGCCTGCTGAAATAGTTACACGTGTGTTTATGTGGCGTTGGATCGCAAATTCTGGATGCCTCATCCCCCATAACAACTGATTTCGAACTCCATCTCCAAAGCAACCTTTTTTAGCTTCGACAAGTAAAGCTCTATGTTCTATGCGCTCTAGAAGAACGGCCTGCTATCCTCCAACAAATGGAATGGTATAACGTTTACACCTGCAGTTTTAGACTGGGTGATCAGCCACGAACATTGTACATTGGACTGAAACTCTACTGTTGGCTATCTTATGCATATCAAATGCCTCGCAAACTTATGCTGTTTCGCACTGCTTATGAGCAAGTGTATAGAACAGAACTACAGTAGTACCCTTATATCAACTGTAAACATGCTTTTTATTCTTATTTGTATACGCGTATTATATGTTTACACAGACCGATTTTATGTCCTTCGCAAACATTTGTCAATTTACAGACTTCGCCCGGTACGTTCAAATCAGGTGACGCTTTTGCACGTGTTTTCGCTTATATTCATTTATTGGTTACTAATAATTGATCTTTAATAACGATGGTTCAAAATTCTAAAAAGCGTGTTCGTGTGAACACCAGTAATTTACACCTGATACACGAAATATTTAAAAATTTAGATGAGAGACATAAAATGAAAGCACAAGTCGAGGAAAATAAAGCCCTAGAGGGCACCTCTAAAACCCAGGAACTCTGCAAAATCTTGCAAAAACGGCTGAAGAAGGGTGAAGAAAACAATATCAGTCATTTAGAACACGAAGATATAATTTATGATGATCCCCAGATCATTAGTGAACTCCTGAGTGAGTGGTTCTCCAATAACACCAAAGCACATCCGTCCCCAATTCTCGACATAACCTGCAAAAATAACTACAAGTTAGGTGAAATAAACTTTAATATACAAAATATAGCATCGGCGGTAAGGACATTAAAAGCTAACAGTAGTTGTGGGATAGACGATATACCATCCGTCATATACAAAAACGGTGGTACGGATATGATTGTATTATTACTTAGAATATTTAATATCTCACTAGTGACCGAAACCTACCCTGAAACTTGGAAAAACACATATATATTACCTAAGCATAAAGGAGGGGCCAAAACTAGTGCATGTAATTATAGGCCTATCAATATAACACCAGTCATATCAAGGATCATGGAGAAAGTAATCAAAGACCAAATGTCAGACTACTTTCTAAAACATAAACTCATCAACCTGTCACAACACGGATTCCTCAAGAAAAGATCTTGCGTCACTTGCCATATAGACTTTTTCAACGAAGTCACCTATAGAAGAGATAGGAGAGAGCTAGTGATTATCCTCTATTTCGATATAAGGAAAGCCTTCGACAGAGTCCCACATAGTCTGTTAGTCGGTAGGCTATGCTCACTAGGGATACGCAACCCCCTCTACAATTGGATAAAATCATTTCTGTATGACAGGAATCAGACAACTAAAGTTGGCTCAATGACCTCCAGACCTAGACCAATCAGCAGTGGTGTCATCCAGGGGAGTGTATTGGGACCCCTTCTTTTCATTATATACATAAACAGTATATGTGAATGTTTTAGTATAGGCAAGCCAATACTGTATGCAGATGACTTGAAGGTGACATATACCTGCACAAATACAGATATCGGCCCAACTATGAACTCCATACATGAAGAATTAGCAAAAATGGATAGATGGTGTGACACGTGGAGACTTGAGTTTAATGTTGAAAAGTGTGGATGGCTCTGCATAGGCTGTTCCAACCTTGACCTCAACCTAGCAATTCAGGGCCACAAAATCCCCAGACTCAAATCTGTACTAGACCTAGGACTGAAATATTCACACAATCTATCATTTTCAGAGCATATCTCGAATCAAGTGTCGAAATCACGAAGGCTTATTGGTTTCCTACTCAGGAACTTCTACAGAAACGAGTCCAGAATACTACTGTACAAGGTATGTGTGCGCCCACTCCTAGATTACTGCTCATTCATATTCAGCAGTACACGCATAGAAGACAAACTGAAAGTAGAAGGAGTACAGAGGTACTTCACGCGAAAAGTACTCGGAACCGATAACGGCACAAACTACTCTACCAGATGTGAAATCCTGGGACTAGAAACATTATGGTTAAGGCGACTGCGACTAAATCTGTTACTCTTCTATAAGCTTCTTAACCAAATAGTGTATACCCCTGCTAACTATACTCGGTCCTCAGGTAACACAGGATACAACCTTAGGCACACTAAAGGTACAGTGGCTATAGAACCATGTAAAACAGCCACCAGGCAAAAGTTTTTCTTGATTAGGTATGCCCAAATATGGAACAAACTACCTGAGAAAATACGACTAGCAAGCACATTGGCCTCCTTTGAAAAGGCACTTAATGACACACTAAGTGAGTTTGTAATTGATACCAATGGTAATTCCCATGTAAGAGTTTCAGAAATCATAGGCCCATTTAATGTATGAACTCAGAGACTACACCTGTTGTTTGTTTTGTCTCTATTTATAATTCCAGACAAAAAAGCAGCAGTCATGACAATAACACCCATTCAACCAAGAGTCGATCAAACTATGTCTACCTGATACAAAGGGCGAACCATAATCAACATACGAATGAAATATGAGAAAACAAGGTAGAAACTTACCGCAACACCACATGAAAAGATAAAAGTTACTTGGATATCATTTATAATCCACCAACTGGTCTCCTACCCAAAAAGAATGCGGCGATGTTTTATCCAAAAAGGCGAGGAAATACATAAACCCACAGCAGCTGTTGTTAACACTCAGTGGGGGTAGGAGCCAACAAAGTAATCCTTTCAAAGCACATGTATACTTCAAATGGGCACGGAGACTTTGTAGAATACGTCATAATCCAAATCACTGCCTCTACAGCGCCAATAAACCTGGATATCTATGATATAACGAAAACATGCTGAAAGCTGCATCTCAGATCAAGTTGACTCATTCCATGGTAATGATCTCCTCCTGCGTGCCTTATTCGACATATTGAATGGAATGGTTCGCAGTTATTCTGGTACTAGATCGAAAAGAATAAAAAATTCACCGGTTGCTGAATCAAAAGTACTTCTCTGCATGTTTAACTGTATTCTAACTGCTATGATTAATTCCAAACCATTTATCCCATAATCACTCAAATTCCAGGAACGATCCAATTCTACCATTTAAAGAAGCTGGCGGACACGATGTAAATGAGTATTCATGATCTGAAATAAAGAAGCAACTGGTTTTCAACATTTTACTCAACTTACGAGTACAGTCCGCCATGCAGACACAAATGGCGCAAATGGGGAATTCTGGAATCGACCTCGGGACCATTTGATGCAGTAAAACAACTTAACATGACCTTATCTAATTTTCGCCTCCACGATCAAATTTCTTTCCTGTTATGAAACTACGATAAGACTGCTGAAAAATGGAATAAATATATCACTGATCTCAACATAATACATCAATAATCTTTAAGCCAAGGGTGCTGTTCACAACAAAGTTATATAAGAGAATTGACTTCAAGCTTTATTTTTCCCAGATATCTGTATTACATTCATGTGATGTCTGGGTTTTTTGTTAATGCGAAGACAATATTTCTATATCTCTTTATGTGCTACACAAACAGACTTTATAGCAGACTGTTCCGACTGACTCTAATGTCAGAAAGAACAACCAAACTGTAAGTCCATTATACATCAAATTATGTGTAATTTATATAATAACTTATCCATGCCTGTACAATAGGTATGTTCCTGCATAAACAGGAAGGAATATATTATTATTATTAAAACAATATTTATGCATGCCTATACAATTGGTGTACCCTACATAGCTAGGGAAAAAAATGTACTTTATTATATTATCTTTACTAAATATGCTTATTAATATTATGTGTAAATTATCGAATTGATGATGCCTGTAAACTGGCGTCCCTCATGTAAAAAATGAGAATATATATTATTATTAAAACTAAACGAAGTCGATTTCCCCGCTCAAACTGGAGGACAATTGTACAATTCAATAACTATACAGCCTAGTTCAGACAATGAGTGTATTTATATATATATCAAATATTTAACTGTCGAAACATTATTAACTTGTAGACAATCTACGATTTGATATTATATCATACTTGATCGTGCCTGTAAAAATGGCATGCATTTTCATGTAAATTTATGTTTATATGAGAATATACATTATTATTACTGTTAAACATTACCTTGACACAATTTTGAAATTTGACTACGGCTATAATACACAATCGTACTCTTCGAAAGTGCCTTTTGGTTTTACGTTGTGTGCGTCGAGTAGCCACAACGTGATATGTATATACATGATGTGTTTTGTTTTTGACAGTCTATCATATTTTGCTGTGTATATGGATCGATATTTCATTATAACTGACAATATGCTTTCATCTGTCCATTAACTAAGTAAACAATGTACGACCTTGTTGTCACATGACATTACAACCAATCATGTTAAGACTGGCTATTTATTGGTTCATGTGTATTAGTCATTTTCATATATACTTTTGTACTGTATTATTGTTCATACACTTTTTCGTACACTCGTACCATTTCACTCACACTCTTGTGTGATATTTATTTTCCTTGTCTGGAAAATACAAGTATCATCGTAAACCTCGTGGTCTTCTGATTTCCCTCTTTCCGCGTCAGGACTGTTAACTACTCGGCGAGTACATAACGCAACGTCTATGCACATTAATAAACGTGAAGAAGTACATGGAAATACGTGATTTAGTCAAATAACGCACGGAACAAAATGGTGAGACCGACGACAAATTTTTGACTCCGACGATAACTTGTTCACCCTGATGCATCATTACACTTGCTGGATTATTAAAACTCTAATTTTCTCGGATATATATGCGTGTATCTATAACAGACATTTTGAACTCATTCTTGTACTTTCTCATCGCACAACTTGTAGTAATTTGCGGTAAGCATCCGCATTGCATGTTTTTCTGTTTTGCCATATTCTTAGTGTGTATAATTTCTGCTATTTCGTTACTCTTAAACCATTTTTCTACGAACTGTAACATGTCTTCCAATACTTCTAATAACCTAGAGCTGGGATCTTCTAGTACTATTTCTCTTACTGTACTAGTTTTTAAGCCCAGAGACCCCCGTCTTTGGTTTGCACGACTAGAACATTCTTTCACCGCCAATAAGCCCACATCACAGACGGCTGAGTGCTGCACTTTGAGTAAAGTACTACCAGGCGAAGTCGCTGAGCAGGTACGACAATGCATCGTTCAACCCAGCACAGACGCTCCTTACGAAAAGTTGTAGGAAGAGGTATTTCGATGCACTTCGCTTTCAGATAGGCAAGCACTCGACCGTTTGTTAAGCAATGTAGAGCTAGGTGATAAAACGCCATCGTAACTCATGAGGCATATGCAGAGTCTAGTAGCAGGAAGAGAAATCTATAAAAGTCTCTTTTACCAAATTTGACTGCGACAACTTTCTGCAAACATTCGGCAAGTTCTTGCTTTCGGAGACGACGACATTGACAAAGGAAAGCTCGCCAAAATCGCTGTGCGCATGTGCAAGAGGTCAACACCTCAATCTGTTGCTTCCACTAGCAAAATACCAGACACTCACGACAGGATACAGACTCTAGAAGACAAAGTCGACGCCATACTGAGTCAGTTAGCAGCACTGACAAAACGCACACGACCAAGCCGTTCTAAAAGCTCGTCTCGTCGACGTCTTTCTCGGTCAACCAGCACCTCACGACATCACGATAATATCTGCTGGCACCACCGTAGTTACTGAAGCAATGCACGACGGTGTCGTTCACCTTGCAACTTTCTAGCTAAACCAAAAGATGTGTCTTCATGTATGAAAACTTCTACTGTTGGAAATCTACGATCTAGCAGTCGTTTGTTTTATGTAACATATAGAAGTTCCAGTACTACATTCTTAGTCAACACAGGAGCAGAGGTGAGTGTTCTCCCTGCGTCTACGCAGGAACGTCAACATCCTCACCCTGCAGTTACGCTCCAAGCCGTTAATAAGTCTAATATTGTTACATATGGAAGTAAACGAATGACTCTGGACTTTGGTCTGCAGAATACCTACACTTGGTCTTTCATCATTGTAGACGTTTCTTCCCCAATCCTCAGTGCAGATTTTCTACAGCAAAACAAACTGCTAGTTGGTCCGATAAGCTCTAAGGTAATAGACTCGCTCAATAAAACGTGTGTCTCTAGTACGATTAGTCGTGCATCATCGTTGAACTTGATTGTCACACGCCTACCAGCATCTCCATATAGTGACTTGGTAAATCAGTTCCCTGAACTTCTACAACCCTCTTTCCGAGCAATAGAACTAAAGCAACACGTGGTTCATCACATTAAAACCACTGGACCACCAGGTTTTGCACGTCCCCGACGCCTTGACCCACATCGACTCAAAATCACAAAAACAGAGTTCGATAAAATGTTAGAGCTCAGCACTATTCGACCATCCAACAGCTCTTGGTCCTAACCGCTGCACATGGTACCCAAAAAGTCTTCTGGTGAGATACGGCCGTGTGGGGATTATAGAGCCTTAAACAAGTAAACGGTACCTGATCGATAACACATACTCACGATTTCGCCAGCAACTTACCAGAGGTTAAAATTTTCTCTAAAATCGACCTTGCCAGAGCGTACCATCGTATTCCCATCCACTCAGATTACGTTCCAAAACTGCTATCACCACGCCACTCAACTTTTACGAATTCGTACGCATGTTCCTCGGGCTGATGAACGCCACTTAGACATTTCAAAGTCTCATCGACCAAGTACTCTGAGACCTACCTTTCGTCTACGCATACATTGACAACTTACTAATTGCAAGTGCAGACGAAACCGAGCATGTAAAACATGTGAAGACGGTGTTTGAAAGACTCCACAAAAACGGCATGACTATCAATTTAGATAAATGCGAATTTGGTAAGAAATCACTGAAATTCCTCGGTCACTTGATTGACAACCAAGGAATCAAAAAGTTCTCGATGATGTACAAGCTATCAAAGACTATCCATTACCAGATTCTTTCAAGAAATTATGGCGGTTTTGGGTCTCGTAAATTTTTACCGGCGTTTTATCCTGAACTGTGCTAGAGTTCTGCAACCGTTAACCGGCCGCTTACGTGGACATAGTCGTTCATTCCATTTGCCCCCAGAAGCTGTTAAAGCATTCGAAACTATTAAACAGTCGTTAAATGACAAGATACTCTTAGTCAGACGCCAAAATGACGCCCCCTGTCTCTCATGACAGACGCTTCAGATGTTGCCATTGGGGCAGTTTTACAACACCAGGTATACGACGAATGGCAACCCCTTGCATTCTTTTCGAAGCGAATGAATCCTACTCAATGTCTCTGTAGCACCTTTGGTACAGAATTGTTATTGTTTATTTTGTAATCGAGCACTTGCCACATATGCTGGAAAGTACACATTTTACTGTCTTTACAGACCACAAAACTCTAACGAAAATCTTATCAGCAAAACAGGATAACTACTCCCCGCGTGAACTACGATATCTCGAGCTTATATCCCAGTTCACCTCCGATCTGCGACATGTGAAGGGTAAAGACATTGAAGTGGCAGACGCTTTATCACATATGCACATTGACAACATTGTATGCCGACTACAAACATCTCTCAAACATACAACGAGATGATGCCGAACTAAAAAAGATCATGTCCCCCAAAACAACATCTCTAAACATCGACGCAATTCCTTTTGGCATAGAAAAGTTATCTGCGACACCTATAGGGGTAAATATCGACCCTTCGTTCCAACAGCTATGAGACATACAGTATTCGAGAAGTTATATAACATGTTGCATCCTGGTGTGAGTGCTACTACCAAACTACCAAGATAAAGATTTATCTGGCCGAACATAAACAGCGATGTTAAGAAGTGGACACGAAATTGCTTACCCTGTCATTGAGTCAAAATCAACCGTCACGCCAATGAAAAATGTCAAAGTAATTGGAGATTGAACGATCAATTCATGGTTGTTTGCACAAAACCAACTTCCCCAATTTTCGCGGAGGCAACAATACGAAAGTCATCGTCTCATCGGTTGCTGTTCAGAAAGACGTCAGGCCAAATAACGTCAGAAACAATATTGCTATTTATTATCGAAATTATCAGCCACGTTTCGTAAACCGTTAATGCCCAGCTCTTGCTACGCTCGGGGTCACGTTGTTCCTTGAAGATTCTCACAAACAATTGGTAATAACGGACGAAAAAACCAAAACACA